TGGAGCACTCAACTGTCATCAAATGAACCAATTAGTGAATTCCAATATGTTACTATACCTCAAGGGAACCTAAGCCAGCTACTTAAGGGTAGCCTAAAATCCCTGGACCCTTTCCATAATGCCACTGCAGCCATTTGTCCTCACTAACTAAACATTTGTTCTAGCAATTGGATTTACTTTTCTTTCCCATTATGCCTGTGTCAATGGTCATAGCAAATGACTTACTGAATGCCTTAATCACTATCATAGTGTCTCACATATTGCTGTCTCCTTTCAAGGAATACCATTCACAGAGAAGGAAGAAAGACAGTGGGCTGATGCCCCTGTGACATAAAGGCCTTCTTATATGTTTTATCAAGGAGAAACAGTTGTCCATAGAACACTGAAATAACCTACTAAAGACTCAATCACTGAATCAGTGGGAGCACTTAAATGGTGTATATGATCAAACAGCTGTATCATGTGCTCTGAACTATACGATGCTGCTTTACCCAATTCAGAAAACATGGTTCTGGAACCTAAATGTAAAGCTTGGTGATGAAACTTAAAATTACACTTAATACTCACTGTGAATCTTAAATTTATGTGTCAAATTGGCTGGGCCACGGATGCCCAGAAAGTTGATCAAGCATTATTTTGAGTGTTTCTGCGAAGGTATTTTTAGATGAGATTTAACATTTAAATCAGTAGACTTCATAAAGCAGACTGCCGTCGCTAATGGGTGACCCCCATCTAATCAGCTGAAGGCCTGATAGAACAAAAGGCAGACCCTAACCCAAGAAAGAGAAAATTCTCCAGCCTGATCACCTTTGAACTGGGATGTTGATTCTTCCTAGCTCTACAGCAGCTTGCCAGCCTTTGGACTCAAACTGACAGATTTGGATTTGTCAGCCTCAGTTAGCATGTAAGCCAATTCCTTATAATAAATTTCTCTCTATACATATGTACTATTGATCTGTTTTACTAAAGAACACTGACTAATACATTCACTTTCAAATATTTTGCTTCACATTCCCTTGGTTTTGAACTCCTATGGTTGAGATGTTTTAACACCAAAGAGGAATGCTAGCATATGAGACAGTAAAATTTTCATTGAATTGAAGCTAACACTTGGGCATTTTGAGGCTCCTTGTACCACTAGACTAACAGGCAAAAAGACAGATAGGATGTTATCTGGTATAACTGACTCTGATTCCCAAGGAGAAATTAGGTTTGCTACTATATAATGGGAAAAGGGAGTACTAATAGGACCTCTACTCCGATCGTTGGTTTAGTTGTAAGGGTTAGGTTACATACAGTCACAAACAACCCAAAATCTTCGTGGCATAATCTTACAGAGGCTTCTTTATCATCCATTCTACAGGGACGTGGGGTAAGTGGGGCTGGGGGTAGGGGCTCTCTCGCGTGGTTTTCACTCTGGCATCCAAGCTAACCAACAGGCCAATATTGAATACTGCTGTGGTAGAGGAAAAGAAAGAGTGGAAAATTTACTTTCTGCTCACAGTTTATTGTAAGAGAAAGCCATATAGCCACTCTTAATTCCTAAGGTGAAAGGACTGAAATCAAGATCAAGTGCCTGGCAGAAGACCTGGAAATATTTGATAAACAGTACTAATACTGTCAGGTACTACCATGCCTGTCATTCAAGGCACACGAGAAACAAATTCAGCCCTATACAAGCAGTACTACCAAAATCTCAGACCTATCAGGTAAAAATATTTGAGTCACTACGCTGGGGAAACATTTCCAAAAAGCTGAGAAATGTTTTATGTTTCAGCTACAGTTTTCAATCAGTAGTAAAACCAGGACTATAGACTTTACATGTGTTTTATTCTTTGTATTATTAGGAATATAATTTAATGAAATTCATATTTAGAGTTAAATATGTAATTTTCTCATTACATTTCTGTATATTGAGACCAAATGGATGAAGGGAAAGGAGAAAATAGTCATCCCCAGAGATGTTTTAGAGAACCAGGACTTGAAGCTGGATATAGTAACAATATGAGACTTGGGGTTGCCTATATTTTAGGAGGATGTGTATTTTTGGCTACATATTTAGCTGTAGCAATATGTTGAATGGTATATTTTTTTCAATTTTTATGTTCAGAAAAGAAGAGATATTGGATAACTCAATGGTTGGACCGTGGTGAACACCTATTGTTTATTCCCACCGAGAATTCATCTTTCGTCCTCAGGTTATATAGCATCCGAGGAGACAAACAATTTAGATAATAGTCTTGACAGGACTGTTAGTCAAGATGCTCCATCCCAAAGTAGCCAAGGCTGTGGCATGGGAAACAAGAGAGGCTAATAAATATGCTTCCCCTGGGGATATAAATTTTGAATATAGAAGCAAGAATACCAGAAACAATTGGAATCAATTTCTCTTAGCAGTAACTCCTATGGACTCTGTCTTTTTAGTCATAATTTCCTCAAATTGCCCTGATTCCTATCTTTTCTGAAACATAGTTCTTCATTTTTCCATTAATTATGTAAGCTACTTCATAATTTTCCAGTAAACTCTATTTTGGATCATAAACCAGATTATATTTCTGTTGTTTATAGAAAAGTCAATCTAACTAATGCCATATTCAACTTTATAATTGACTAGCCATGCAAATAAAAATGATAAGGATATATTTTCACCTAGTATATTTAACAATAATAAAAATTACTGAAGATAGCCAATTTAAAGTAGGGCGTGGGAAATAAAACATTATATATTGCTGCTGGGATTATAATTTGATACAAACTTTTTGTATAGTAATTTGGCAGAACCTGAGAAGTAAAACTGAAAATATTTGAATATGCTTCTAAAAACAAATAAATTGATAGACATTAACTTAAATTATGCCAATTATTTAAAAGTGCAGGCAATATAAATATTTCCCAATAACAGAATAGTTAACAAAACTATGGAATACTGTGCAGCTCTTAAAAACATTTAAACTGATCAATATCTACTGAACTCAAACAATATCCACCATATGCTTTTGAGTAAAAGGAAGCAAGCTGCAGAACAATAAGAAAACTACAGTCTAAGTTATATTAAAAAATCCATTTATCTATGCAACACATATATGTGTGTGTCTATATATGAATACATTGTATATATATGAATACATTCTATACATACAGTAGTTTTTATATTTATATAAGTTCTTGGAGGATATGCACAAACAATTCACAATAATATCCTTGAGAGGTGGTAGTGCTTAAAGTGGGGCCCTTAACTTAATTTCTAAATAATATTCATTGTAGCGTGGAATTGTACAAGTACACTTATTACTTTTATTTTTCAGTATATTAAACTAGAGAAGATAATAGGATGGCTAACAGTTAAAGAGTAAAAGGAAACATGTAATAGATATTTAAAGTGGAGTAGGAAAAAAAATGAAATGAAATGAGAAAACAAGGCTAAAATCAAGGTTATTGCAATAAATTTACATAGAGCTACAAAGTGATTATATTATTGATTATTAATTAATAAATGATATAACAAATAACAGTCATCGAGGACATATTATGTGGTAAGCACATTTTTATATGCTTCATGGGTAACACCCAACTTAATTTTATAACTAGCCTATGAGGCAGGTACTATTCCTTCATTTCACAGAAAAGACCAAGACGACACAGGGTGGTTAAATGATAAGGTTTATAATTAGCAGAGTCGTTAGGTATTTAGTTTAACTATAAAATACAAGCAAATCCTGGATTTACTTGGTCTGGTGGACCTACAGAGGTCTTGGAGTAGCTAAACTTCTTAATGCAAAATTCCTTAATCCTGCAGATTAAGAGCTACTTCTTTGAAGTTCAGAGAATACTAAAGAACAAGAAAAAGAGGCACCCTGACTGAGCTTCTGTGTTAATATCAAGACTTTACTTTTCCTTGTCTTTAACTAGACTGGAACGTCCAGCATGTGGCTCTCTCCTAGCCAATAATCTGACCATGATCCTCTACCTGGTGGAGTCTGGAGTTTGACAAAAGCAGTGTTCTGAACTAAGTTCCTGTGGTGAGCCTGCCTTCTACAGCAAGGAGGTTCCACACTTCATGGCTCAGCATTTGGAAACTAGCCCTGGACAACAGGTAGCAGGCAATGGAAGAAAAAGATGAGTATAATTGTGGGAGCCTGTGCTAATTAATTGCATATTATTTACATTTATCTAACATGAGATACGATGGCATAAATTTTATTCTGAGCATTTAAAAGACAATTTTAACATTTGGTTTCTCATTTCTGAGAATAACCTAGAAGACTTATTTTAATCATACCAATTTTGTTTTTTTTCAAGAAGCTTATTTATAGAGCTTTTCTCTACTTCATCGGGTCTAATGTTTACTATCATGTTGATAGAGAGAAATCAGATCAGTGGAAGAAAATGACATTAGTTAACTAGGCCAAGTTAATGATGAATTATTTCAGGGCATACTTCTGATATCAAAAGTATATGGTATCTGTTGAAAAATAATTGTATTTCACTACATCTTGCCTATTTAATAAAGTATTTTATAAAAGAGTGATATGTATTAGAGTTTGTAAGTAGTAAGTGAAAAAATCATATTATGATTTCCATTCTTTGTTAACCAGAAGAATTAAAAATTTTTAAAAAAGGTTTTTTTATTCTGTAGTAGATCTATGTCCTATATTTAATAAACGGAAGGAGAGCAGCTCTTCTAACACATAGATGGTTTAGTAATTTAAGGACCCAGCTAATATATGTGTATGTCTGTGGTGTGATTATTCTTATTAACATTACTTCTAGCAGTATGAGAATTACTTCACAATATTTAGAAAGGAGGAAAATCTTATTGAAACAGGCCATTTTGAAAAACAGCACCTGCATTAGTTTCTCTTATGTAGTTGATATTCAACGTTGTTTTGTATACTAATCTGGCTGCTGTATTTGAATAAAATTACTTCTAGGTTTGTCTGGCTGCTTATTTAATTAATTAGTGTTAAATGAATTAATGGTAATAATATATAGAGGCTTACCCTGGCATTGGTCCATTTCCAGCAAGACTGTAAACTTGACGAGGATTTAGTAGATATTGGAATTTTCTGTAAATTCTATAAAGATGAAAATATGGAAGGAAAAAATAAAACTTAGCGATATTTTTATTCTAAATATGCACATGCATTTAGAACACTCTCTATCCTGCTTTTGAATATTATTTAGATAATAAAGAGTTCAAATTAATATTTTAAAATATCAGTATACAATTAGTTAAATATCTTCTCTTAATAGACCCTTGGGAAATTTACAGATTATTCGGCCCATCTAACAGAGATGAAAGTTACTTATCCCATATATAAAATGGGATTGGACACTGTATGCATGAAAGTAGACTGTGACTTCAGCTGCTTAATTATTTCACATGAACAATCATCTTGATGAGCTAGATCACAAAATTGCTAAACTATTTCTATAGGCACATATTAAATAATTCATTTTTTGCTGAAAGAACTCAATCTTTGCATAACAAATGCAACAGAAATGCTTCTAAGTACACACACATCCCATATCAGAATTCTGAGACAAAATATTAAAAGTGAAGGAATATATTTGGTTTTTAAAATTAGTTTTTATATATACCTGTGAAAAGATTACTATATATCTTAACATATTCATATTATGTGTACTGAAACTCTCCAAATATCTACTTATATCCTCCCACGTCCTTGTGCAATACCCTCACATTCTAGATCTTGAATAATGATATCACCTAGCATCTCAAGAATGATCTTAGAGTCATTCTCAGTACCTGCTTTTCCCCAGCACCTAAAATCGAGGACAATCCTGTACCTTCTAACTGAGTAATGTCTATCATACCTGGTTATTCTCACTGCCTTACAAGTTCTCTCACCAGCTTTGTAAAAGTCTTGCCTATTCAGCCTCCTTCTGTACTTCTATTTAAGTACAGTCACGTTGTTTCCATGATGAAAAGTTCCTGTCAGTGGCAAGTTACTTATTAAATATTTTATTATATTTAAAATAGTTTATGTCTCGTCTTTCTCCTCCTTCCTCTTAAACTTCAACCTCGCTGAATATCTCTTGGTTCCCTACCAAAACACCACACCCCCTTCCACACAGCTGTCTTTTTTCTTCCTTCACCTGGCAAACATCTACTTATATCAGAACCAGCTGAAAAGCTAGACTTCTGAGTCTTCAGAGACAATCATTTCTTCCTCTGAACTTCCATAGCACTTTTATTTTTATTTTTATTTTTTTTTTCTTTTTTATTTTTTTGCAGTACGCGGGCCTCTCACTGTTGTGGCCTCTCCCGTTGCGGAGCACAGGCTCCGGATGCGCAGGCTCAGCGGCCATGGCTCACGGGCCCAGCCGCTCCGCGGCATGTGGGATCTTCCCGGACCGGGGCACGAACCCGTGTTCCCTGCAGGGAACAGTCCGGCAGGCGGACTCTCAACCACTGCGCCACCAGGGAAGCCCAGCACTTTTATTTTAAACATTCCTAGCTTAGCTTTTGCCTTGGGGTTACTGTAGTAAATATGTTCACGTGTCTGCCTCCCTGTATGACCGTGTCTTCTGTCTCATCCCCAGTTCCTAGTAGAGACTGGATTCCCCTCAAGCATTGCTGTCTGACTGATGTGTGAACATTTTCACACCTGTTGACTAGTATGGGAAACTATGTGTAAATACATAATTGTTACCTTTTTCTGCTTATCTAATACATCGAAGAAGAAAATCTACATATTTTGAAAGGAAAACCCTGAATAGAATTCCATTATTTGTGAAAGATGCTTCTTATGCATTCAGGAGAATTTATGACTTCATTAATAATAGATCTCCTTTAAACATATTTATAATTCTTTTGACTTTGAATGGTCCCTGTTAGTGTATAAAGGACAAAGCATAAGTGGGTGTGCATATAGGAGCACTCAAATATCCTCCCTCTCCACCGTTAAATTTAATTTACTGATGACTTCAGTGTATCTATCTGTAGATATATATTTTTTAATTTAAAGAAAATTATTTTTATGTACTGGGAGAAGAGGGAGGCAGATATTCAATTAAGGGTCACTCTACATTATTAATGTTATCTTAATTTGAGGGGAATGTTTCCATTTGAAATATATATTTTTTCACTTGATACTTCATTTGTTTCTAATTTCCAACATGAATTTAAGTCTCATCTAATGCTTTGTGAGAGTTTACTTCTTTTTCAAGATACCCATAACATATACAACTAACAAACTGTGAGTAGGAAAGGAGAAAATAATTTTAGCATCATTATTCATTTATATACCTAAAAGTGAGGCAACTATTCTCTTTAATAAAGCATTGTAAATATTTTATATTATTAAGTCACTAGTTATTTAAAATAACTTGTCTTGTTTAGCAGAGTTAAAAGTATAACTATATGGTGATAAAAGGGAAAACTTTTTAAGCAGAAATAGTATTTTGTTGAATGGAAAATGACCATTCTTCATTTAATTGAAATGAAGCTGGAAAGTTAAATGGTAGGAAAGGAAATTACTTTTCAAAATTCCTTTATTCATGGAAACATTTCAATTTCATTATTTGGTGAAACCACAGTGTAAATCTCTATTTTTATTATCATAGCGTTTGTGTGAGTGCTTTTATCTGATTGCTCATTTTTTGGCTGGAATTAGTAAAGAGTTCTAGAAATTATTAAGAAAGGTACAACTGCATTTCTCTTTCTGACACTCCTTCTTAGAAGGACATAAGATTTACTCTTCAATGTGGTGATTTTCAGATTTTTATTAAATATTATGATTTAATCATTAATTTTACAAAAAGGAAAATTTTTTGATGTCCACATGAATACTGAGATACCTGATAATGCAGCTCATTATTATTCTGATTAAATATACTGTGCTTCTCCAGGATATATGGCATCATGTTCTCCAAATGAACATGCAGAAAATCATTATAATATATTTTGTCTAGAAGCTGGATATAAATTCTGTTTCTAACTACTGGGCAATCATTTACCTGAAGTCACCTTGTTGACCATTTAGAGAACCAATTTTCATTCAACAGTATTTATGGAGCCATGTTGTATGCAAAGCTCCTTGTTAATGGCTAGGGGTGATAGGCAGGGTAGAGAGAATTCAGACACCTGAGATATAATAATAAAAATATTTACAAAAGGCCATTATTATATTAAAATTTCAACTGTAAAAACAAGGAGAGATCATACCAATATACATTGTTATACAGAGATGATAGCAACACTTATTTCACATTAAAATTAGTGAACCATGAGGTATAATATTTTTAAATGTATACTATAAATTTAGTTTATCTTTTTACAGATATATAACATAGTAAATAAATGTGATTTTTAAAAACATACCGTTCTCCTTGCTTCCCACCACTTTTGGGGTTCACAAAAACTAAAAGTGGATGAGTACCAGGAACAGGAGTGATCTAGAAGAAAAGTTGAATATGTGGACAAATGATTTATATTATATATAAAGAGAATGCCCCGTTATTTCTAAGTCGTGAAATGCCAATAAAAGAACATGGTTCTTTTGTTCTGTAATGTGGAGAGATAGAGGATAGATAGATAACAGATAGATCTAATTAGCAACATAATTAAATCCTGTGCTTTGACTCCATATATATCAAAATAAATATCCACTCCACTAAGAGGTGATTTTTCTAGCTAGGAATAGGGCAGAGGGGAAGGCATCTATGAAAAGGGAATAACCTCTCAATAGCTATGAAATGAAAACAATAGATACAATTCGTGGGATCGTGAGTAAACCATCCAGAATAGAGCAGATTATGGTGGTAAAAAAGATTAGAAAAGAAAGGTATCAAAGTATAAGTGAGCCTTACTCTTAGAGACAATCCCTACTTTAGAGCTTTATAGCACATTTGCAATCCATCTTCCCAACCACTTGTGAACTAGAATCTAAAAGACAGCCCTCAGAATGGGAGAAAATATTTGCAAATGAATCAACTGACAAAGGATTAATCTCTAAAATTTACAGGCAGCTCATGCAGCTCAATAACAAAAAAATAAACAACCCAATCCAAAAATGGGCAGAAGACCTAAATAGACATTTCTCCAAAGAAGATATACAGACTGCCAACAAACACATGAAAGAATGCTCAACATCATTAATCATTAGAGAAATGCAAATCAAAACTACAATGAGATATCATCTCACACCAGTCAGAATGGCCATCATCAAAAAATCTAGAAACAATAAATGCTGGAGAGGGTGTGGAGAAAAGGGAACACTCTTGCACTGCTGGTGGGAATGTGAATTGGTTCAGCCACTATGGAGAACAGTATGGAGGTTCCTTAAAAAACTACAAATAGAACTACCATATGACCCAGCAATCCCACTACTAGGTATATACCCTGAGGAAACCAGAATTCAGAAAGAGTCATGTACCAAAATGTTCATTGCAGCTCTATTTACAATAGCCCGGAGATGGAAACAACCTAAGTGCCCGCCGTCGGATGAATGGATAAAGAAGATGTGGCACATATATACAATGGAATATTACTCAGCCATAAAAAGAAACGAAATTGAGCTATTTGTAATGAGGTGGATAGATCTAGAGTCTGTCATACAGAGTGAAGTAAGTCAGAAAGAGAAGGACAAATACCGTATGCTAACACATATATATGGAATTTAAGAAAAAAAAAATGTTATGAAGAACCTAGGGGTAAAACAGGAATAAAGACAGAGACCTACTGGAGAACAGACTTGAGGATATGGGGAGGGGGAAGGGTGAGGTGTGTTAGGGCGAGAGAGAGACATGGACATATATATACTAACAAACGTAAGGTAGATAGCCAGTGGGAAGCAGCCGCATGGCACAGGGAAACCGGCTCGGTTCTTTGTGGCTGTCTGGAGGGGTGGGATAGGGAGGGTGGGAGGGAGGGAGACAAAGAGGGAAGAGATATGGGAACATATATATATGTATAACTGACTCACTCTGTTATAAAGCAGAAACTAACACACACTTGTAAAGCAATTATACGCCAAAAAAGATGTTAAAAAATAAACAACAGCACATAAAAATAAATAAATAAAATAAAAAAAA